ATATTTTTATATATATATATATATATATATATATATATATATATATATATATATATAATTTGAATCAGCCATTTTTGATGTCGCTCACCCGATTGAAATTGAATGAAGTTGTATGACAGAATTTTTGACTGAGAATCAAATAGTCAGTTATGATGATCAGCATGCAATGTGCATTCTGCAAATTGTAAACAATTGCCAAAACATGCAATATGCTTAAATTAATAAGAAATTCAAATCTGGTATGAACAAAAACTAATTGTTCAGAGATCTGGACTTATTGTTTTGAGAAAATCCTATTGAAGAACTGAGCCAAAGCAATTGGGGGAAAAAATCTGTAAATGCAGATTTACAGTCTCTCAATATCAACAAGTACTGTCAAGTTTATGGTCTGTCATTCTTAAAACAATAAAGATCAAATTTGCTGGAGATAAGTTCATGTTTTGGGTGGGGGACAGCAAAGATATGGTTCTTCGGGACTGGGTGGGACATCACAGAATAATAGAAATAAACCAGCACTTCCTTTGGGATTTGTCAAGGAAGTCAGAGAAGGAGTCTATCTAAGGCCGGTTCCCTCAGATTCCTGAGTTGTTTAGCTTTAAAGCTGCACTGACTTCCTGAATGTTGGACATGAGGATGGTTTATGTAACATGGCAGATTCTTCAGTGAAGGTGCAGTCAGTGTCTGTGCTCAAAGAGTCCTGTTTGAGATGTTGGCCTGCCCTGGAGTGGTTACTGTCCAATCACGACCCCCTTTCCTGAATTGCTTTCTGTGGTGTTATCTGGCTTCCTGGTGCCATTGTGTTATGCTGATGATTGTTTAGAAACTGAAAACTATGTGATGATGCTATGAACGGCAAGGAAACTGCCTCCATCACAGTGAAAAAGGAATTGTTAAAATGTCATTGTGCCTGTGATTGTTTCATAGTAACACTTGTGTAACATCAAATGATATGCGTTTATGTTGTAATGTGACTGATTCATTATTTTTAAAGGTGTATTTCAAAAGAAGAGGTGAGTAAAAATTAATGGGTATTTAGAAAAATTGCATTACTGCCTCACTATATTGTATTCTTTACATGGCAGAAAATCTGTATTTTTAGTCAGCTACATTTTTTATGTTTATATTTAGGGGAAAGGAGTCAGTAAACATGTGGTAGCATTACTTGTTCATTTTGGACAAAAAAAAAAAAAAAGAGCTGAATATACACTACTGTTTAAAAGTCTGGGCTTGGGCTTAGTTTTAAAAATAAGTCTCTTATGCTCACCGAGGGCGAGGCTGCAATTATTTAATTATTAAAAATACAAAAAAGAAATAGTAAAATTAGAAAAATTATTACAAATTAAAATAACAGGGTCCTATATTAATGCATACTAAAATGTAATTTATTTCTGTGATGGCAAAGCTGAATTTTCAGCAGCCATTACTACAGTCTTCAGTGTCACATGACCCTTCAGAAATCATTCTAATATGTTGATTTGGTTCTCGGAAATCGTTTTATTTTTTATTATCAATGTTAAAAACAGTTGTTCTGTTTAATATCACAGTTTATGGAAACCATGATATATATATTTTTTACTGTTCATTCATGAACAGGATGTTCAGAAGAGCAGCTTTTATTTGAAATATAAATTGTATAACATTATAAATGTTTTCACTGTCACTTTTGATCAGTTTATTGTGTCCTTGCTGGATAAAAGTATTAATTTCTGCATAAAATCTTAGTTTTGAACAAGTACCTTCACAATGCACCAAAAAGTGAGTGTGAAAAAGATTGCATATAAGTTTAAATGCACTAAACATGAAGAATTGCTAAATATTATGGTATCATGACCCAGATATTGATTTAATGTTGTATCACCATGTCCCAGCTGATTCCACTCTGAATTTACAGCAACGGGGCATTTTTATTATGTTTGGTCCATTTTGGTTTTTCTCTATAAAATGATAGGCTCAACATTCACATATGAAACGCTATTCATTTCATGCATCCACTTATTGTGGCCTAGATCAGAGCCTGTGCACAACAGCTTTTGTGCATTGGGGGACCTGAGGAAGTGAAGTAGCCTAAATAAACATTATGATTGAAAAATCCCATTGACTTACATTCTTTTTTACTTTGGTTAGAAAGTGTCGACCTAGCAACCACATGGCAACATCCTTACATCAAAAGGATTGTATTTAGTTCTGCACCCTCATACATTGTGCATTCTTTGAGACTGACAGTTTGGGAGCATCTGTGGCGTTGTTTTTTTCGTGGTGTTCAGTTCATCTTTAAAGATGAGGGCCATTATCTTTGAGTAATTCTAATACACCGTCAGGCACTTGGGCTCGCTGCTGTGTTCTATTTTAGATCACAAATATTTCCGACAGCCAGTGTAGCACCATCCGTTGGTCTGTTCTCTCTCATGTTGTGTAGTTTAAGCCAAAATTCCCCTCCGTCTGTCTGTTCTCAAAGATTTTTGAAATGCATCACAATCTGTAAAATTCGTAGGGCTCTGGTTCACTACTGCAATGTTAGTCATTGTCAGTTTGAATAAGGGATGGACATTGTGAGGATTTTTGTAACCGAGTAGCCAAAGAGATCAAATTATTAATAAATCAAAGTTCAAATGGTTTCTAAACAAAAATAACTATTAATATATTTTTAATAATGTTCATTTAGAAATATTATTTTATTATAGCATTATTATTTTTGACATCCCTAAATAATACTGTTGTCAATTACTATAAAACATAAACCAAAATAATGAATTTAGTAATGTGCATGTAAAAAATAATATTTTGTTTTATTTGCACATCACTAATAATGCCCTTATAAATAGGGTGTTTTTGAAAGTGACATGAAAAAATGCATTAATAAAAACATCAGGTTTGAAAATGGCAATAAAAAAAAAAGTGCAATTGTGCATGCTTTCTTGTACAGTACGTTTCTTTCTGTTTTCCTTGTATTCTCTTTATAAAAGACAATCCTCATTCTGTGGGTTGCAGGCAAGAGTGAATCATTTTGAGAAGTTCAAACAGTATTTTTACTCTCTCAGTATTTCTAGTATGCCCATAGCCCAAAGTGATTTGCTGAACAAGTATGACTCCTCAACTGCTTATGTTGTCTCCGTAATGGCATAAGTAACCCTTGGTCTGAATATTTATCAGTGTTTATCTGGACCAGGTCTCTGTGTTGGCTCTGGTGTTCATGCTGGCTCCCAGATCTATAAACAGACTGGAGCGGGCACTTGACTGAGGTCTGGATGCTGCGTGAGCGTGCAACCAGGACCAGCTGCATTAGGGGTGATGAGTCGAGCTGGACTGCGTGGAGGAGCTTTAAAGTACAAATATTGACTTGTGTTGCTGGGCTGCGGCTTGCAATAGACTTCAGCATCAGTAAAGAGATCCGCTCACATCCTGATTTCTGAAAGAGACCAATCTGAAGCCGGACAGATTGTGTTCATGAAAGAGAGACAAATCATAAAGGGGCATTTTACACCGTACACAATGACATAGGCCTAATATTTCTTTCTCAAGATCTTGGAGATCTTTTGATCTAAAAGTTTATGCATAAATGCATGAAATTTGGTTTGTAGATTAATATAACGTATGCATTTATTTTGCATGCTTTTCTTGATAAAACTAACATTTTAATGAAAGCCACGGCCACGCTTAAGATATTAAGCATGAGTTGGATAAGATAGCGAAGAAAAGCAGTAACAAGTGGGCATTTGTGTACGTTTGTTGTACAGATGTTCTTCCCTTGCCACTGTTGTCTTTATCTTGTTTATCGGAGTTTGTAGGACATGGTTCTCTGTAAAACCACTAAGAGTCATATTTATTGTGAAAAGTGCTGCACAAATCAAATTTATATGAATCGAAAATATTTATATCCATACTTGTACATTAAAGATTACTCGGTCAACTAGATGACAAAAAATAAATATTTTCATAATTTGCTTTAGTACAACGGCAGTATAAAAGTCAGTTATTGTATTTTTAAAAAACATGTTGGCTTATTATCACTCTTAATAATATTTTTCTCACACACAGTATAAATGGGCTGTTATACATCAAAATATGTAGCTAGCTGGCTTTACATTTATTCAGTGGGGTCCACTGCAATGGGATTATCATATTTGGGGGTTCTTGGCATCCAAACATTTGTTAAGAGACCAAACTTATCCGAGAGCATTTGTCAGTGCTGCTGACTGATTGCGCACTGAAGTATTAGCACAATAAAGTGCTTTCCAAGAAGTTTACATCTTACATTAATTATCTGAGACATGTCTTTTCCTTTTAAAACAACACCAAGAAAATCAATCAGTTTTAAATTGTACAACTCTACAAAAGTGATTTCAGAAAAAAAACATCTCCTAAAATCACTAGTTGATTCATTGTTTTTTTTGTTTTTGTAGAAAATGCGGAGCCTGCTGAACTCAAACACCTCTTCGAGCAGAATTACTCCCACATCTACTATGTGTTCTTTGAAAACTTCATCACCATCGAGGTTAACCTGAAACAGAAAGGTAAGACCTGCGGCTCTTCGTTGTATCTCTCACCCACTGTCTCGTGAGAATGTTCTCTGCACTGTTGTTTGATAGTTTAATGGTTTTCAGGTTTCGATTGTGTTGTTTTTCAGCTGGCCTACTCATTGTGTGCTCTCAGCAAACACACAGTCAGAAGTCACAGTGTTAATAAGCAAGTTTCCATGAAATGGCTTAAGACGAAAATTAGCTTGCCCCCAGTTAGCCATGTCCGGTCACACGGGCTCATTATAGTGCACAGAGAGCACAGCCAATGTCTTGGTACACTGCACAGTTGCTCATTGAGTATTCAGAGAGCTGCTCACTGCCTTTGACCTCTCATTTGATGTCTTAACATTTCGTCTTGTTCTGTTGCAGCTACGGTTCAGGTTGTTCAGATTGCTCGGTACAAGCATTTGTCCCAGTTTTTCCCCCCCACGTACTTTCTTTATAATTTCATTTTTTAGGTAGTTTGCTTTTATTTTATAGGACACTCAAATGTGGAAACGATAGAAAGGGTGAGAGAGGTTGAATGGGTTTGGTGCCTTAACTTTTGCCACTTACTTGATATGCGTTCTTGTCTTACTCTTTGTGCCAATAAAAACAGATATGTTATTATTCAGATAGTAATGGTGAAGGCTGGAGACACTTCAGATGCCCCATCATGACGAGACAGGCATGATGTCTGCGTGTAGGAGAGCTATTGCAACATCCCAGCCTGTTTCAATGTCACAAGGAAGTCCAGTAATGCGTGCTTGCACAAATCTGTTCATCTGTTTTGAAATGTAAAAATATGCTACACTCACAACATTTTTCCATCCTTTGTTACATTGATTGAGTTGTTTAAATGCATGTGCTAACATGAGTACATATAAAGGCATGTCTGTAGTCAAATCTATGTGCTTACCTTGCAGAAAATCCTACAGCTGTTACCAGAGCGAATACAAGGAAGATGGCAGTTCCACAGCATAGGTGAACATTTCTACTTTTGTAAATGCTGCTGTTTAAAAGTTAGGGGTAGATACGGTTTTTAAAAGAAGTCTCTTATTCTCACCAAGGCTGCATTTATTTGATTGAAAATACTGTAGAAACAGTAATATTGTGAAATATTTTTACAATTTAAACTTAACTGTTTTCTATTTGAATATAGTTCAAAATGTCATTTATTCCTGTGATGCAAAGCTGAATTTTCAGCAGCCATTACTCCAGTCTTCAGTTTCACGAGATCATTCAGAAATCATTACAATTTGCTCATTTGCCGCTCAAGAAACATTTCTTATTATTATCAATGTTGAAAACAGTTGTGCTGCTTAATATATTTGTGGAACTGGTTTTTTTTTTTATTCTTTGATAAATAGAAAGTTGAAAAGAAAAGCATTTATTAGAAATAGAAATATTTTATAACACTATAAATGTCCTCACCGTCGCTTTTGTCAATTCAATGCTTCCTTGGTGAAGTAAAAGTACTAATTTGGGGGAAAAAAAGGTCTTCCTGACTCCAAACCTTTGAACGGTAGTGTAAATGGAGTGTAGCTTTGGACTAATGAGCTTTCACTATGGGCTTAGCCAAAACAGAAACCAAGTCACATATAGATAGGGCAGAAAACTTAATTTCACATGGAAGAGATCTGATGGTGATACTTTGTGCCTGGTTGGGGTGGTCTTAATATCTTGTATTGTCCGGTGGTCTCTCCTTTTCCTCTGCTCTGAAGTCTTTTAGCAGAAGGATACACAGACCACCAAGATAAACACAGAGAATGCCAAGGACCTGGGGCCCAGAAACACCCAGATCTGACCGAGAACTCTGACATTAAAGTCCTTCATCAGTGAGATAAACAATATGTGACAATAACAATAACATGAAGGATTTTCAGATTTATTTTACTTTGCTCTTTTCTTAATAAACCCACATTCCATACAAACAAATAAACATCACTGACAGATTATAAGCAAAGAGACCAGAGCAAACATGTTTTCCAGAATTATCTAGTAAGCCAGCTCATTTATAAGCTATGAATTTGTTCCTCAGATTAAACTACTGTGTTGCTTCATAGGTCTCATTCTGAAGAAACTGCTACACACTGGTAACTCCCTAAAGGTATTAAATGTCTAAATAATTACATAATTTACATTATATAAAAGGTCAAAATCTCAATAAACATTGTCATTGTATGAGTGATTATTGTTCTTTTGTTTTTAATTTTAAATAAATATTTTGAAATCCTTAATTTCTTAAATGGTTTTGTCTTAGAGTGCATAATTATTCAGTACATGTTATTAAGGTTATTTTTTTTTTGCTGACATAACCAAGGTTGTGAAGGCTGCTAAAAATCATTTTAACCAATAATGTGGTTGTATGTTTGGTGTATAGATCCGGAGGGAAGGGGTGCGTCTCTTCCTTCTGTGGATGCAGGCTCTGCAGCACAATGCTCTGAGAGAGCAGCTCTGGATCTTCGCCTGTCTAATCCCTGGATTCCCTGCACCACAGTCCGAGCTTGGCCCTCGAACCCTGGATAATCTGATCAGCCCTCCCCTTAACCTTCAGGAGCGTGAGTGTTTGTTTACAGTCTCTCACATCTTTTTTTTTTTTCACAAGTTTTTTTTATATTTTTGTAATATTTTTTTTAGCCTTTAAAGGAATGTTTAATGTTATTCAAGATTTCTCTCACCAAAATAGTCAATTTAATTTTTCATGACTATTTTTCATCCCCTCACTGACATTTAAAATTAAACAGGATGTTTTTTTGCCTCTGTAGCTTTAAGACTTATTTAAATTACCTTTGTTGGCAATATTAAAGTGTTTATTAATGTTTTGAATTATTTGTTTTAATTAAAATTTTTGTTTAATTTTTAAAGTTTGCTAAGTGCTTTTGTCTTTTTTTCTAGTGTTCATTATTTCTATTTAGCTTTAATTTATTTTTTATTTTAGTTATTTAAGTATAATTTTAGTACTTCAACTTATTGTCTGTTAGTTGCCAGAGCAACGTTTCTAATATTCATTTATGTTTTTAACAAAAATTTTTATTTAATTTTACATTAGATTGATAGCAATTAACACATTCTTTGTAATAGTTTTAGTTGTTAATTAATAACAACACTGGCTCATTGTTGTGATACCATAACCACAACTACTTCTGAATTGCTCAGTTCTGCAGTTTAGCTTCAATAAATGTTTTGTGTGGACTGTGCTGGAAGATTTGTGTTGAGTATCTTCAAAGTAAACATGTTTTTGTCCATTTCTGCAGCTCAAGTGACCCCAGAGGAGATCAGTCCCCTGGTGCCGCCCCAGTCAGGAGACAAATCCCAGGAAGATCTAACTGGCTACTTCCTGGAGGCTCTACTAAAATACATGGTAAACCAGGTACTCCCCTCCTCCTACTAACACTGCTGACGCTAACACGGCTGGCGCAGACCCAACGCTAAAGCTGCAGAAACCAAACTTACATGCCACTGACTGACCCCAGATCTGCATGCATTTGATGCCAGATACCCTTGCTGCAGCGATGTGTTTCCCTGGCACTGTAACGGCTGCTCTGCTTCACACCCTCCCTAGCATAAACAACAGCACCACGCGCTGCCTGCCTCCACCAACCCCACTGTCCTCCACCAAACACAAACAGGCTGTTCTGTCCCAGCTGCTGTGTATGTGCTCAGCTTTCCATGTGTGTTCTGTCTCCCTACAGGCCAAAAGTCTAGAGTGGAAGTGCAAGGAGAACCACGAGAAGGGGTTTGCCGCCTTGTTCGCCAATTTCAAAAAGTATTACCTGCCCCATATCTTCCCCAACTTCTCCAAGGAGACCAGTTTGTACAATCCAATTCTGGGTAAGAGTTAATGATAATCCTTCTTTGTCAAAGCAAACCTAATTTTTATTTCTCCTTGTTTTTGAGGAACTATTTAGCAAGTTATAATTGCTCAGGATGATAAACTGTCTAATTTGGTTTGTGTCCTTTATTATAATAGAGGTTCCACCCATGAGACCAAAGCCTTACTACATAGTTGTAAAAAGAGACCCAGAGACCAATGAAGCCCTGTACTGCACTAAAGAGAACTTCCTCAATGCCAGAGTCATATTTATCCGCTGGCTGGTCTCCTTCTGGCTAGAGCCGCGGTCAAACACAGGAACACACATTCCTGGCATGGAAGGAGAAAACGTGCCAAAGAACATCCAGGTAGCAACACACAGATCTTCACATGTATGATGCAGTAATGGTTTTAATGTAGTTTTAGGGTTGGCGTTACTTTTAAAAGGGATAGTTAATCCAAAAATGAAAATCTACAGGTTATCAAAACTTCCATAAGGTCCATAAAGGTATTGTAAAACGAATCCTTATGAATCAAGCACTTTAGTCCAAGACTTGTGAAAAGATACATTTGCTTCATGTGATGAACAGATTTAAAGGGATAATTCACCCAAAAATTAAAATTCTGTCATTAATTACTCGTTAGTAATTAGTCGTTCCAAACCTGTAAGACCTTCGTTCATCTTCGGAACACAAATTAAGATATTTTTGATGCATTCCGAGAGCTCTCTGACCCTCCCATAGACAGCAAGGAGACACGATCAAGGCTCAGAAACATAGCAAGGATATCGTTAAAATATTCCATGTGACATCAGTGGTTCAACCATAATTTTACGAAGCTACGAGAATAATTTTTGTGCGCAAAGAAAACAAAAATAATGACTTTATTCAAATATTCGTCTCCTCCTCGTATGTGCTGTTCTGTGTCAGCAGCACCGTACGCGGATACGCTGTTTACGTTGCTTAAGCTTTGATCTGAATGTAAACAACGTATCCGCGTACATACGTTGCATATGTTGTTTACGTACGTGATACTCTCCAAAATGCCGCTATAGGGTGACGCGGAGGAGACCAATTGTTGAATAAAGTCGTTATTTTTGTTTTCTTTGCACAAAAAGTATTCTCATAGCTTCATAAAATTACAGTTGAACCACTGATGTCACATGGGCTATTTAACAATCTCCTTGCTACGTTTCTGAGCCTTGATCGTGGAAGGATCCTTGCTGTCTATGGGAGGGTCAGAGAGCTCTCAGAATGCCTCAAAAATATCTTAATTTGTGTTCCAAATATGAATGAAGGTCTTACGGGTTTGAAACGACTTGACGGCTTTGGGTGAACTATGCCTTTAATTTAGGCTTTTATTTACATCTAAACAATGATCGACACACACAGAGCACATCACATATGGCAAACACGGAAGCTCAAATGTGCATGCATGATACACAAGAACCAGTGTTCTAGCATGTGATGCACCATATGTAATTCACTCCATGTATTTATGTTTATATTTAAGTAAAAGCCTGAATTAAATCTATTCATCAAGTGATTGTATCTCTTCATAAGACATTGATTAAATCAGTTAATATGGATTTGTTTTGGAGTGTCTTTATCTTCAAAGTTTTGGTTTCCTGGACTTTTAATGGAGGGGCAGAAACCTCTCAGGTTATATACAGTGGGGCAAAAAAGTATTTAGTCAGCCACCAATTGTGCAAGTTCTCCCACTTAAAAAGATGAGAGAGGCCTGTAATTTTCATCATAGGTA